GCAAGAACAAGGGGCTTTAGAAAGGAAGGGGATGTGTGGACCAGGTGTTTTCAGTGAAACAATAATTTAACAGTATTTAGATAAGGTTTTTTAAGAGGTTTTGTGGCATTTATGGATTTTTGAAAAGGCGTATGACAAGGTGGATAGGGGGCAATTGGTAGATGTTGCAGTGTTGGTGTAGGGGGTAGGGACGAAAGCATGAAGATTTTTTTTCGGGGGTGTGAGGTTTAAGTTTGATATGTAGGGCAGAGGGAGGGTTATTTTTCCCCGTAAAAGTAGGCCTAGACAAGGATGTGTGATGTCACCGTGGTTGTTTAATATATTTATAGATGGGGTTGTTTAAAGAGTAAATGGAGGGTCTTGGGAAAGGCGTGGAGTTAAAAATAAAAATCACACACATGTGGGAGTTGTCACAGTTGCTCTTTGCTGATGACACTGTCCTGGGGATTCTGAAAAAAAGTTTCAGAGGGGGGTGGAGAATTTGGGAGGGTATGCAAAAAAAGAAAATTAAAAGTGAAACAAAAAAGAGTAAGGTTATGAGGAAAAAAGATTAGTGTGAAAAATTTATCAGATTGGGGAGAGAGTATGGAGGAGTAATGTATTCAATATTTGGGAGTAGTGTCAGGGAGGGTCTAGAAAATGAGGTGAAACATAGAATTTTTTGAGGGGAAAAGGGTGAGCGGTGCAGTTAGGGGTCGGGGACAAAGAACTTTTTCCTTGGGGGCAAAGGGGGAATGTATAGAGTATAGTTTTACCCAAAGCTCCGTATGGGGTGAACATGGTGATGAAAGTTACAGCGAGGAGAAGGCTGGAGGCAGTGGAGATGTCATGTCTGAGGGCAATGTGTGGTGTGAATATAATGCAGAGAATTCGTAGTTTGGAAGTTAGGAGAAGGCGCGGGATTACCAAAACTGTTGTCCAGAGGGCTGAGGAAGGGTTGTTGAGGTGGTTCAGACATGTAGAGAGAATGGAGCGAAACAGATTAACTTCAAGAATGTATCCGTCTGTAGTGGAAGGAAGGCGGGGTAGGGGTCGGCCTAGGAAAGGTTGGAGGGAGGGGGTAAAGGAGGTTTTGTGTGCGAGGGGCTTGAACTTCCAGCAGGCATGCGTGAGTGTGTTTGATAGGAGTGAATGGAGACAAATGAATTTTAATACTTGACGTGCTGTTGGAGTGTGAGCAAAGTATCATTTATGAAGGGATTCAGGGAAACCGGCAGGCCGGACTTGAGTCCTGGAGATGGGAAGTACAGTGCCTGCACTCTGAAGGAGAGGTGTTAATGTTGCAGTTTAAAAACTGTAGTGTAAAGCACCCTTCTGGCAAGACAGTGATGGAGTGAATGATGGTGAAAGTTTTTCTTTTTCGGGCCACCATGCCTTGGTGGGAATCGGCCAGTGTGTTAATAAAATAAAATATATATGTATATACACATATACACATACACACACACACACACACACACACAGTAGACCATCATTTAGCACGAGTTTATTTGGCACTTTTCGGGTATAGCACGATTGAAGAATTGCGGCACAATTTTACGTAACACGTAAAATTAATTTCACTTTGCAGGAAGGAAAAAAAATTCCCTTTTCCTCAAGCGGCTGTCTTGTTGTGGATTAGCGGGGGAGAGAGGGAGACCCCTCGCCACCCCCCTGACACATCCCCACCATCCCAGCATTCGTACTTCATACGTGTCCAGTCCTTCTCTGCTACCAGCTAGCTGTGTTTGTGAATTGTGTTTTGATCTTTTAATTACTATATCTTGAGTATACCAGGATAAGTGTACGGTAGGGTTATTATTGAAAGAATTAGAGGTAAGACAGCATGTAGGATTGCGGATGCGTAAGGAGGCTTCAGAGTGGGTAGGGTATGTGTAGATCAAGTGTTTACATTGAAGCATATATGTGAACAGTATTTAGATAAAGGTAGTGAAGTTTTTATTGCATTTATGGATTCAGAAAAGGCATATGATAGAGTGAATATGGGAGCAATGTAGCAGATGTTGCAAGTATATGGAATAGGTGGTAAGTTACTAAATGCTGTAAAGAGTTTTTATGAGGATAGTGAGGCTCAGGTTAGGGTGTGTAGAAGAGAGGGAGACTACTTCCCGGTAAAAGTAGGTCTTAGACAGGGATGTGTAATGTCACCATGGGAGATTCTAAAGAAAAATTGCAAAGGTTAGTGGATGAGCTTGGGAGTGTGTGTAAAGGTAGAAAGTTGAAAGTAAACATAGAAAACACTAAGGTGATGAGGGTATCAAATGATTTAGATAAAGAAAAATTGGATATCAAATTGGGGAGGAGGAGTATGGAAGAAGTGAATGTTTTCAGATATTTGGGAGGTGACGTATCAGCGGATGGATTTATGAAGGACGAGGTTAATCATAGAATTGATGAAGGAAAAAAGTTGAGTGGTGTGTTGAGGTATATGTGGAGACAAAAAAATGTTATCTATGGAAGCAAAGAAGGGAATGTATGAAAGTATAGTAGTACGAACGCTCTTATATGGGTGTGAAGCTTGGGTTGTAAATGCTGCAGCAAGGAAGTGGTTGGAGGCAGTGGAGATGTCCTGTCTAAGGGCAATGTGTGGTGTAAATATTATGCAGAAAATTCGGAGTGTGGAAATTACAAGAAGGTGTGGAGTTAATAAAAGTATTAGTCAGAGAGCTGAAGAGGGGTTGTTGAGGTGGTTTGGTCATTTAAAGAAAATGGATCAAAGTAGAATGACATGGAGAGCATATAAATCTGTAGGGGAAGGAAGGCGGGGTAGGGGTCGTCCTCGAAAAGGTTGGAGGGAGGGGGTAAAGGAGGTTTTCTGGGCGAGGGGCTTGGACTTCCAGAAAGTGTGCATGAGCATCTTAAATAGGAGTGAATGGAGACAAATGATATTTGGGACCTGACGAGCTGTTGGAGTGTGAGCTGGGTAATATTTAGTGAAGGGATTCAGGAAAACCTGTTATTTTTATATAGTCGGACTCGAGTCCTGGAAATGGGAAGTACAATGCCTGCACTTTAAAGGAGGGGTTTGGGATATTGGCAGTTTGGAGGGATATGTTGTGTATCTTTATACATATATGCTTCTAAACTGTTGTATTCTAAGCACCTCTGCAAAAACAGTGGTTATGTGTGAGTGAGGTGAAAGTGTTGAATGATGAAAGTATTCTCTTTTTGGGGATTTTCGTTCTTTTTGGATGACCCTACCTCAGTGGGAGATGGCCGACTTGTTATAAAAAAAAAAAAAAAAAAAAAAAAAAAAATCTTATATCTCAACCAATCATGACACCCAGTAAGCATGTCAGTGTTGCTGAAAGTGGCAGGAAAAGGTATAAGCATTTAAATCTTAGAATTAACAAGTAAAACAAAGATATTTGACAAGAGATAACCTGTAGCTGTAATGAAGTGTTACTTTGTACACATAACAAGATGTAAACATACGTTTGTGTGACTGACTGATTGACTTACTTAATGACTGACTTACTTAATGACTGACTTACTGAATGACTGACTTAGTGACTTGACTGACTGAATGAGTTAAAGTTAGACACTCCAATACAGCCATCAACTTCAGTACCAGAACCTCTACCATCCACCTCAGCCCAGTAGGACCACAACATAACTCTACACTCTCTTCACAATCATCCACAAACACCAGCACCCACAATTTAAGGTAAGAAATACTATTATTTCTGTTATATTTGTAGTCTTAAGCAGTAAAAACAACATAATACATCACAACAATGAACTACAATTACATATTCACTTTTATTTTTGCAAGATGTGGAGGCCTAAAAAAAAAAAGTCGCTTGGCTTTTTGGGGGGCTCTCAGGAACGTAACCCTATTTTTCCTACAAGTTCTTCAGTTCATCTAACATGGTTTTACCTAACACAAACGTTTTCAGGAATGTAACTCCTGTGTTAAATGATGGTCTACTGTATATATAAATTTTTCTCCATGGGGAAGTGGAACAATTCTTCCTCTGTAAGCCATGAATGTTGTAAGAGGCGACTAAAATGCTGGGAGCAAGGGGCTAGTAACCCCTTCTCCTGTGTAAATTACTAAATTTAAAAAGAAAAACTTTCATTTTCTTTTTAGGTCGCCCTGCCTCGGGTGTTGTGTACTGTATCATTAAAAATTGGGCAATTTTGTGCGTTAACCCCCCAGTTTCCTTTCCCCCCACAAAAAAAAAGTCTTATCCTTTGTCTGGAACACCTCACTGATACACTTTAGTACTGCCGAGAATACTCGAACATCCTCATCCATCGACAAAACTAGCACTAATAATAACCAATTAAATATTTATTCCCAGAGAGTTACAGCTTACCAATTAGAAACAAAACAGATAATTAAGAGTGGGACTCATGATCAGGAAGTAGAAGACGGTAGGAACTTGAAAACCCAAATGTTTAGTTTATAATAAAGCCGGAACAACAAACACAAGGCAATAATAGCACATCCCTAATATGAACAACAATGTTTACAATATAAATCTTCAAAAGACTGTAAAGAGAAAGAAGACACAATACAAATAATTTTATTGAGGATTATTTCTTGCCCAGTGTAAAAATGTGTGAAACGCTGGAGGATTTGAATCCTCGAGCAGTACTTGGTCCTATAACGCTCCAGACAAAACTGGAGAGTATAGTGACTTGGTCATAGCACTGTGGTTCCAGGGCCAACACAGATGCTTCAGAGGCACCGGACTCTGGTTCAACTCATGGCGTCGTTATAGTCTCCAGTCTCGTCCGAGAGATTAGAGGGTTAAATCCCTTATGGGGGATCAAGCCTCCGTGTTTCCCACGTAAAACAATACAAAAATACTGGAACTGCCAGATATTTTAAACCGTAAATATAGATGAAGTATATAGGCAGGGAGACAGTATACAGGCATTGAATTATACACCAGTATCATTGGTATATATACACATGTTAAGAGGAGAGGATATGAGGCTACCTATATCACCTATAGGATACCCAGTAAGCATCACATTCGAGCACTAACCATGAGAGAGTCGCCCCCATCCTGTCACTGTACCATACTCCCCTACAAAGGAGTCTCCTTGCTTTGGTAGACACACCGGGATGATGTGTTCCTTGTATATGATCTTCCTATTGACCTTCACCAGCGCCACATCGTTCTGGAAATCTGCAGCCTGGTACTGCGGGTGCACCTCCTTCTTGGCGACATCGAAGTCCTCGTGGGGCAGCTTCTCATTCTGCTGCCTCACGTTCCACTCTCCCAGTCTCACTTTCATGTTGTTTATGGGAGTGCTGTGGAGTAGTGGTAGTTAGGCAAGATGCTTGTTACGAAATATTGGTGAACGAACTGTTTTAAACGATGAAGTAAATGAAATGGTGTAGTTAGAGATATTATAAAAGGCAAAGAAGCCTGTGTCCTTTGAAAGCTCTTGGCACTAAAAAATAATAATTGCAATACACACACAAAAAAATTACAGACCAACAAGTATGAATGAAAGACAACACACAGTATTACACAGAGTTAAAATAGCCAGCATCAATTAAAAAATCCCATTTAACAGTTCATGTCAAAATACTCATCTGAAAGTTCCCTGAAACTCTGCGGATACTTAAGTAATTATAAAAACTGCAACTGCCTAGCACCAGAGCGTGTGCGAAGTTTGGTCATCAAGACTACCACCAGACCTGGTCATTAAGACCACCAGACCTGGTCATTAAGACCACCAGACCTGGTTGTCAAGACTACCACCAGACCTGGTCATTAAGACCACTACCAGACCCGGTCGTTAAGACTACCACCAGACCCTCCCTGTGGAAAATAATATATATTTTCCGAAAATACAGTGTATTTTGTAAGTTGATGAAATATATTGTAGTTAATAAAAATTAATTTGTAAATAAAAAAGGAGCCGGGGAGAGTGTTAGCATCCCGTGGGGAGGAGGCCATTGTTTTTGAACTGGGCAAGAGAAACGTTAGTGAAAATCCGAAGAATTTTCGCCGCTCTAGAGGTTAAATTGTGTTTAAAACCTCTCAAATAAGAGTAGAAATTGTTGGATTTGCAGTCCTGTAGAATGTGATAAACAGGCAACTGGACAGGACTCCGTAATTAGATGGGAAAAAGATAAAATTACCTCAGTTGAGTAATGTCTATATTTATGTTGAAATTCTGGGCAGTATTTTCTTCATATTTTAGGCAGGGGTTTGTGTATGACACCAAGTAATCTCCAGACAAATTGGTTAGTGTTATTATAATTTCTCCTTCAGTGTATATGTAGTCATTTATTAAATTTAACATACAGTCCACATATTTATATTAATGTTTTACCAGAATTCCTGATGTATATTTCATTTGAAATTAATATAGGTCCAGAGTGACTTGTGGAGATATGAGTGGAGTAGGTATCGAAGGGGAACATTTTTTGCAACCTAGGATGTCCTAAAATTCCTACATGTTTCTGTAACCTTGATAAAGAATAATTATCTTTGTTACTTTTATTAAATTACTGGTATGTATCTTATGAAATTCATCCAGGTAATTTTAATTTTCCACACTCCCCTCAAGGGAGGTTCCATGATGCTATTGAGGGGCTCTTGATCTAGGGAATTGGATCTGTGCTCCAGTTCCCTGAATTGAGCCTGAATGCTTTCCATCCCCCCCAAAGGCACTATATAATACTACGGGTTTAGCGCTCCCTCATGATTATAATACCACCAGACCAGGTCGTTAAGACTAACCACCAGACCCGATATTAAAAATTCACAACCCCTCTCCGCCAGATCCAGCCGTCAAAACCACTTTGGTGACAACCCGTCCTCTTAACGACAGACAAAATTACTTTCATATAAACAGTCAACTGAGTGACTGTTGAAGGCGCCCTGAGCAGTTTGAATTATGACTTATTTACTTACAGTGCACGCCAATAGTCTGCCATAGATACATTATATTTTATCGCCTTTTATCTTAACTTTTTTTTTTTTTTTGTATGTTGTAATCCGTTATTTCTAATGTGCTGCAAAACACATGTGAAGATTCTACTTAAATGATCGGCTAAAATCCACTGAAAAAATATTTTACATCTAAAAGTAACGTCATTGGTTTCACCACACACGCCCTCCAAGTCACACACTTGAGGTGACGTGACAGTGTCATGCACCACAGAACGAGGTGTCATGCGTATCGTGACACAGCAAAGAGGACTCTTTGGGTTGACACACAGGCCTCGTTAGGTCGAAGGTGAACTGTGGTACGAGTGGCGGTGATTGTATTACACAGGAGTACAAGGTAGAGGCAGAAAGCAGAAAAAAATATAAGTTACATCGTGGCGGGTCGCTGATAGCAACAGCTTAGCTGACAGTAAATAAGCCTGGTCTCAAGTATGGCTGTGAGGGTAGAAGAATCCTGGAAACCGACCATGGGTATGTCGGAGGTACAAGTAAGAAACCATGCTCTGGCAACCTCTAATTCCATCAGTACTGCTGATCCAAGAACAGTACAGCAGGGGCACTTTGTCGATCTGTTTTGTACTTATCAAAACCAACTCGTGCGTGGCTTTAATCATTGATAAAAATAACAGTGGCTTAAGATCGAAACCTATAATTCTAGCTCTAGAACAAAAAAATATCTATTACAAAAACTCAGAGTACTGAAAACCGTGGCACTAGGATGATTTGAATCATGAGTTCGAATAAGAACGAATAATACAAGAGACCCAAGTGAACAGCATCGTTTTCGCGGGGAGGAACCCCGAAATAGCAAACTAATAATAATAACAATAATAATGTCAGGAACTGAAGTAATAAACAAACTTATGAACAATAAGATAAAATGTCAAGTAAGGTTGATACGCAAAGCGGATGTTTCATCCGTTACAAATACTGAAGATAGTAAAATGAAATCAGATTCGATTATGAATGATTAAACTTGCCTCAGATTTAAATAGAAATGATTAAAAATGTCCTTAAGATTCAAATAGTTATTAAAATGGTCTCAGATTTTTATAGTCATGAAGAAAAAGTCCTTTGATTCAGTTCAAATAGCAATAAAAAAGAATAGGAACATTTCTCAATAGAAAATAAGTGCTTCCAGACTATGAGAAAAAATTAGTCAGGTTACCACTGATGAAGAGACAGACTATGATACTCACGAGTAGACGCAGTGAGCTGCAGTGATGACCCAGTACTCGTTGAGGAGAGCTCCTCCGCAGGCAATGCGCTTGCTCAGGAAGGACTCCTTGATGATGGCCACCTGCCAAGGATGCGTCCCGAAGGCAGAGTCGCTCCCTCCTACGATCCTGTTGGTCCTCGTGTACGTCTCCCCACACCCTGTGGACACAGTGGAGTTAGATATGCAGTGTGTGCGTATTCTAGGCTAGTTGTGTTTGCACAACCTTATCTCACTCACTCACACACACACACACACACACACACACACACACACACACACACACACACACACACACACACACACACACACACACACAGTGATGTGCGATATACCCATCAGAATGAAAAATCTACACAGTGACCTGAAACATTTCGACCCTAATATTATGACCAAAGCTCTCAGCTATTACAAACGTTTTTTCTAACCCTATGATTGTTAGGGTATCAGTATTAGTGATCAGTGAGGGATGAAACTATGACAGACTGTGATATTACGATGTTCATATATTCTTAAGAATGTTTCATGTACGTATATTACGTGCACTAATTCTATATATTACTAAGAACATGTATTTATTATAATACCTATTTCAAGTGTGCACGTTTAATATATAAAATTATCAGTTACAAAATCAAATTCAATAATGTTTTGACGTTTAGTCCAATTAACTCATTTAACGCTGACGTATATATTTTACCTTAATATGATTGATTATATTATAATTATTAGTGCTTCGTCTACTTAGCGTTTAGTTAAAAGAATCATGACAAATATTTTGTTATTCAATAAACGACACAAGAATATGGAGAAAAACAAGAAGAAAAATTAAAAGGAAAAAAAAAGGTAAGCACGGGATAAAAATATATAAAATATAAAAAGTCACCAGCGGGATAATAATTAGAAATGAAATTACCAGAAATGAAAGTAATAAATGGGTCTCCTGTCCACCAAAAAAAAATGAAAGTAAACCACAGGATCAATCCTCCGACTCTTTAATGTCATCCACTCCTCCAGCTCTTCTATCATCCACTCCCTATCACCTCAGATGACTGGTCCAGCACCATGAACCTGCTACCGTGACCTGCCATTGGACCAGCAGCTGAACGGGTCGTCTCATGACAAAGACCCGTGACAGGTGATTTATCCAGGGAATACATAAACAGCTTTCAGTTCCCCAACAAGTCCATTCCTCCCACTAAGAAATATGTCTCTTCCCACGCCTCATCTCTCTAAACTTGTACTCTTTCTTCCCTCAAAACTCCAATCCCAAAATCAGAAACTGGTTTCCTTCTTAGTGATTAAAAATAAATTCATCCCTCACCAAAATACGTCTTGTTCATTATAAATTAATAAAAACTAATCCTGATCGAGGAAGATTCCGGTGAAAATTTACATACAATAATAGAAGTGTCGTAAAAATAGTCAGTGATGTTTCACATAGATCTTTTATTCCACAGTGACTTTTCTAATTTCAGTTACACAACCTCCGTTATTTTGTCATTTCGTGCTGAGAATTAACAGTGTGTTCATTTTATGGCGGAGTTACCGAGTGATATTACGTAAAGATAATGATAAAAAAATTATTTAGTGGGAGGTTCTCATTTGCATTCATATAAAAACCCTCTTCATATAATTTTTATTCTTATATCTATATATATATATATATATATATATATATATATATATATATAGTATATATATATAATATATATATTTTATATATATATATTTATATATATATATATATATATATATATATATATATATATATATATATATATATATATATATATATATATATATATATATTGATATTTATATATATATATATATTTATATATATATATTTTATTTATATATATATATATTTATATATATAATATTTATATATATATTATATATATATATATTGATATTTATTATATATATATTTTATATATATATATTGATATTTATATATATATATATATATATTATATATATATATATATATATATGTATATATATTTATATATATAAACATATATATATATATATATATATATATATATATATATATATATAATATATATATATATATATATATATATTATATATATATATATATAAAATAAGTGGATAAAAGGCTTCAAGGAAGAATATTTGGATTTCTTCCTGAAGCTGTTTGAATATTCAACTTCCCCTACCACCCATCTTTTAGTATATTTTTTTTTTTACCAATAGGATATTTTTATTACATAATATGGTACAGAAGATTTAAGAGATACATTGTTGATATAAAGGTGGCATATAAGGTACATGTTGTTACGTGTGTGTCACCGATTATAAGGCGAAAATCTCATCCAGCTCCTCAGAGCTGGGGCGTGTGCCCAAAATACAGCAGGCATTACCCCGTTGTACAGCCGCACTGAGCCGCTGGAACAGAAAACTAGCTGCCCTGGGATCCCTAGTTACGCTGACGAGTCTTTTTCCCAGCCCCTTTAAAGGGAAATTTAGATGCAATCTTTCCCCATGAGCCAAGGGTCTCTGAGTCTATGGGAACAAACATATAATGATGGGCAAGTTCTCCATATTTTCTAGACTTTTGGGACTCCCTGAAGCTGGCAGCTGCCCCTCCTTCCTCCCTGGTGTATTGGAGATAGGTATCAGCCAAGGTAGATGCACATGTATAGTCCCACACCACCTGCTTCCCATCTGTCCAGGCTTGAAGGGTGATACCATCTGGACGCTTCTGGCTGCCATCAGATCTGCATAGTTGGGGTGGCTCCCTTACTGCTGGGCATCCAGCTGTTGTGAGGCTCCTCTTGATAATGTTATTATCCTCATGTCTTGCAATTTTTTCCCTCGGATTTACGGCACACAAGACCATGGTTTACCCGAATCGGTCTGCTGCTTCACTGCCACAAATACACCTATGTTCGGCGAGAATAGGGGCGGCAAGTCGAAGGGCAACACCGATGGGGATGGTCTGTGGGTCGAGGCGTGTGCCAAGGCTGGAGTTGGGAACAGCCAACAGAAAGTCCCCAGCATGAGGGGCTCTCACTGCCAGGAGGCGGGCTCTATCCTTCCCTGACACACACTGAAGCATTGTTGAGGCTATATTTTCCACTATTGGACCATCCCAGTGCGATTGTTTGTAGTTGTTGGGGGGAGCAGGTCTGGTTTCAGAGCCCGTTAGATTATCCCAGATCATTGCTCCGTCAATGGGAAATTTTTGGTCCTGGACTCCAATCTTGTCCCTAAGATGTTCAGGGAGAATCGCTGCTACAAGCTCTCTGGATGGAATACACGAGGACAGAAAAGCAGGTAAAGCAATCTGTGATGACTTGCGGACACCAATGCCTCCTAGTCCGACTGGAAGTGTAGCTTGGTTCCACTGCCCGTCTTCTAGAGTAAGGTTAAGTACTTTCGTAAAAATCTGCCTCAGAATACTGTCATATTAGTGCAGTATAGGGTTATCATATGAAGGTGCACATCTTAGGAAATATGTCAACCTGGGCAGACTCAAGCACTTTGTGAGAAGGTACAAGGCATCGTGGGTGTCCAGATTGCCTATTCGTTGTTCCATTCTCCTTAACTCTTCCAATTTCTTCCTGAGAATTGTGTCAATGGCATTGCTTCCCAGAGGTGCTCCTAGCAAGACACCATTTGTGGGGGCAATGACTGCTGCTCCTGGTAGTTTTGATCTCACTGCATTTATCACTTGTTGACTGAGATGATTTCACATTTGGATGGATTCAGGACGAGACCCATTTCCTGTCCCCGTGTCATTACCTGTGTAAGGTCATGTAGGAGGGACTCCTTTGTACCTACTAGTGTGCCATCATCTAGGAACCCGATGTTTAGCTCGCTGGTCAGTCTGACTGTGATTTCCCTAACTCCTATACAGAAGAGAAATGGTGCAAGAGGATCTCCTTGTTGGACACCCTCCGATGATGTGATTTCATGCTCTCCAAAGAGAAGCATTGATTCCTTGCTATACCCAGCTGAAACAAAAGGGAAGAGACCAGGGAAATGTTCTTGTACTGCTGCTAATACCACGTCTCTTTTCAGGAGATTGAACGCATTCTTGAAATCTAATTTTACCACTGCATTGTCCTCAGGCAGGTTGTTGATATACGCCCTTGTTGCATGAACCGCTGCTTCACTTCCTTGAGAGACCCCAAAGCCAAGCTGGTTTGGTTGAAGCATCATGGCTGCCTGTGCACGAATACTTCGGACAGCAGCTTTGGATACGAGGCGGCGTAACGTGTTGCCTACTGCAATTGGCCGAATTCCTCCATCCTTCTTTTTAAGTGCACAAAGTGTTGCACCAAAAAGAAAGGTCTAATTTCATCAGGAATCAGACAAGCCAAGGAATTGTTGACGAACCTTGTGATCTCTGAAAGCAGTGTCTCTGCAATTTCCCCAATAACTGGATTAACCATTTCCTTTAAATGCTGTGGCCTTATTCCAGTGTAACCCCCAGCAGAGCCAGATGGGAACGACATTATTGCTTTGTAAATGTCTGAGTCTTCCACAATCAATGGTTCCATAGTGGGGACAGAGGTGTTGGAACTGTTGGTGCCACTGGTTTCCCTGGCAGGGTGCTTTCCTCTAAGTGCTTCAGCCATGTCAGCATCCCTGGGAGCAACTGTATCTTCACTGGTAATAATTCTGATTGCCCCCACTGTGTTGCCCTCTTCAATTTTCTTGCTCACCTGGACTCTGACTTTTTCACTGTCAGTAGAGTGAGTGGGGGTTCTGCCTCTCCCTTTTTTGTGTTGACGGGGAAGGCGAATGAGGTTATCAACTCTAGGAAAATCTCTTAAGGATTTAATTATCATTGAGGCTAGCCTCTTTCCCCTTCTTTCCGGCACAGCTAAGCAGACATTGCCAAAAAGTAGCAAGTTGTGCCATGCCTTGATGGTTGGTGGAGCATTTAAGATAGTGGAACCATCGTTTACTTTTTTCAGGAGGTCTGTAAGTTTCCCAGTTGCGTGTAGACGGGCTGCTTTGGGAATATGTGTGAGTGTCCTCGTACCTGTTGCTTTAATTGCTTCCAAGAGATTGTCTGATGAGATGAAATCTGTTGGAGTGGGTTCAGGTGCCTGAGATGAGGTGGCTCTGGATCATCACTTTCCACAGGAGGACATCCTGACCCAGGGCAACTACCGTG